CACTGTCAGGCTCGGCCCCCCAGGACGCTGAGGCTGGGGTGCTCCTCCGGTGGGGGGGGAGGCCCCAGGCTGGTCTGGCCTGACTCCAGTGAGTCTGATTATCACGACCTTCGGGGCCGTGAATCCCAGCCCAACTCGCCCCCGGCGCACGCGCACACGGTTGACACGGGAACCAGTGGGTTCTGAGTCAACACGCTGAGCACCCCGGACATGTGGTTTACTTGGCCACCACAGCACCCCCTCGCCCAGCCTGTTCCCCGCGCCACCCACACACCAGCCACAGCGCGGCCAGGGTCACCCGCAGGGCAGAGAGGGCACGGGTGGGGACAAGAGCAAGTTGGCGGCATTAGGTGACCAGAACCCAGGGGGTCGTACTGTCTTCCTGCTCCAGATGTCAGGGAGCCGTCCGTCTCCGACAGCGAACCGACGGTGGTTCGGCCGCTGCCTCCAGGCAGGCACCCGCCGCCCGGGTAAGGGCGTGGGGGAGGAGGGGGCTCGGGGGTAGGGCTGACAGAGCGAGCAGCGGCCGCTCAGGAAAGTCTAGCATGAGCCTGGCCGGGCCGGCCGGCGACACTCAGCCGCCTCCCCACGCCCTCTCCGGCACAGCCTCCAAATCCCAGGACGTTCCCAGCTTCGCTGCCAGTCACACAACCCCACCTGGATCTCACCGCTGGGCCCTGAGCCTTCGCGGGGCACAGTGAGCCCGGCCAGCCCAGGGAGCAGAGGAGAGCAGACGGCTTCCGAGAGGCCAGGGAAGCAACCCCCCGGCCAGCTCCCCTTCCGGACGAGGGCCTTCACCTCTGACACCATCTTCGCCGACGCTGCCGGAAAGGCGTGAACGGCAGATTCCACCTGCCGGGTCGCCTGCACCTTCTCGGGTGCCACCGCACACCCGACAGAGAGGCCCAGTGACTCAGATCCACGGCCGAGCGCTCCCAGAGCCTCAGACGTGGCAGGTTTAAAACAGAAACCCAACCCCGGAACATCGAGGGGAAACAATTCTCGACAAGCTCTGAGAGGCGAACTCCTTTTAAGAGGGCCGGGTTTCCTCTGCAAGAGCTGCTCGGGCTCAAGGGAACTCAAGAGGGAAACCGCGACCCCCTGAGCCCCGCCAAGGAGGAAGGCAGCTGGGTTTACCCGTGAGCGGGGTCCAAGGCGATGGCCCGCGGCTGGTCGAGGTCCTGCCAGAAGAGAACCTTCCGGGACGTCCCGTTGAGGTTGGCTACCTCGATGCGATTGGTCTCGGAGTCTGTCCAGTACAGCTTCTTGCCGACCCAGTCGCAGGCCAGGCCGTCAGGCGACACCAGGCCAGAGATGACCACGTTCTGCACGGCAGCCCCCGTCTGGTTCAGGTAGATCTGCTTGATGGCCTCCTCACTCACGTCCGTCCAGTACACGGCTCCCTTGGAGAACTGGAAATCCACGGCGGCCGCGTCCTCCAGGCCGCTGACCACGACGGTGGACTCCAGCTTGACCCCGCCGGCATCCACCAGCCGTACGTCCCGGCGGTTGGCAAACAGCAGGAGCGGTGAGGCTGTGGGGGGTGGAGGCAAACCGTGAGGACCGCTGCCCAAGCCAGGAGCCGCACGGCCCGGGACGGGGGGGGGGGGGGGGGGGGGGGGGGGGGGGGCTGTGGGCACCGACCGCGTGCCCGGCCGCGCCCCAGGCCCCCTGCTCCTTCCCTCTGCTCCCCGAAGCACTGGCAGGAAGGTGCCCAGGCAGGCCCAGGCCGGGCCATCGCAAAGCTCCCCCAGTAACGGCACCGCTGTTACTGAAATCACAGAGGGCGGCCAGCCAGCTCCCCCAGGCCACGGTGACTCTCTCTGCCACGCCCGTCGCCTCCCACGGGGATGCCGCGGCCGCACTGGGCCTCGAGGGGCCGCAGAGAAGTCACCATGACGGCAAGGGAAGGGGATGTGAGGGCACCAGTCCTGGCCGGGAGAGCCTGAGGATTCCCGTGCGATTCCAGGACCCGCTGTCCGCGCTCAGGCCCCTTCCTAGGACGGTGGCCTCGGTGTCCCAGTCCGGAATGCCACCCCTCAGCTCAAACCCCTCCGCCAGCTCCCTGTGCCGCTGGGACTGAGATCAGGCTGCCAGAGCGAGCGCCCCGCTCAAACCCAGGCCACGGCCTCCGCAGGCCGCGCGGGGACACCGGAGGGCTCAAGGTCAGGACCCCCCGTGGGGCTCCCCACTGCCCCTGCCCCATCAGTCTACAGCTCTGAGGCAGGAAGGAAGGCTGTAAAGATCAAACGGGGGGTGATGAGCCACATCGAGCTGGGCATCCTGACCTCTCGCAAGGAAGAGATGGCCACAAAGGACATCTGTCCCCAAATCTCTGCCCCAGGCAGGTATAAACAGAGAGTACAGAGCATTGGTCCTCACGGGCTGACAGCTCTTTGCGATTCGCACGCAGAGCTGTGCGGGCTCCTCTGGACCCCGGGGACCCCGTGCGTGGGCCTGGGCTGGGGGTGACATTGCGCCCATCTTACGGAAGGGGAAGATGAGACTTCGAGAAACACCTGCGCGGCCAGGTTGAGCAGCCCCCGCACTCTGGAACCCGTATCGTATTACTTCTCGGTGAATAGTTACTTCAACAGGAAGTTTCTAGGAATTAAAAAATGGAACCTTCCCTGTTCTCCCAGCTTCTTACAGGAATCTTTCCCAACGTGCCGAGGGTCCCAGCGGACCCTGCACTCCAGGAGGGCCCGCTAGCCTGGGTAAGAGCAGTGCCCAGCAGCTGCTGTGTAAAACATTTCCCCCGCCCCACCCAGCCTCCAGCACCCACCTTCAAGAAGGTGAGTTACCTCTGCCCCGTAAGAGGTGTGGAGGAAAGGGAGGGGCTGTCCAGAAGGGTGTAGGGCCCCACCCCCAGCTAGAGGCTCTGGAGAGTGGAGGAGGGATGCCCACGGCCACAGGCCTGGCCAGCAGCTGGGTGCCATGCAATGGTCAGGTGCCAGCCAGTGGAAGAAGGGGGAGGATGGTGGCCGGGGCTAGGGAGGGTCCAGAACCTCCAGAGGAGGAAGAACCCATGACCACCAGGGGCCGGGGGGCCTTCCCTGGGAACAGGGCCACATGTGGGATCTGGAGGACACAGGGGCAGCAGCAGGCAAAGCCACAGCAAACAAAGACACCCCACGGCACGCCCAGGGTGATGGGCGTGCCCGCAGCACATTCCCATTCGTCACCATCGTGACGCTCCCGGCCACCCAGAGCAAGGATTACCAGCAAACCCATTCCGCCCGCGAGGTTTAAGGTGCCCAGGCTCCTGAAGTCCCCGGCGGCAGGTCCCCTGGCTCGTCCCCACTCGTCCAGCAAAGGCGTGACCTGCCCAAGCACGCGCAGTCAAGATTCCACACTATGGGTTCTTAACCTTCTGAGGGTCACGATGTTCCCTGATAAGCTGGTCCTCTCCCCACAGACACACAGAGGCACACACACAGTGCTGTCACCAAGCCCCATGACGTCCCCCGCCAGGGAGGACCTTGCTGAGGCACGCAGGGAGAAGCAGCTGACTTCTCTTACTATACATCAGGATCTGTCTCAGGAGGGAGTGAGCTCCCTGTTGCCACAGGTAATCAAGGGGAAGTCGGAGAGGACAGGTGAGGGGCTGCAGGGTGTGGGGTGCGGGGTGGGGAGGGGGCAAGTCGCTAGCCCAAGTGTTAGCCAGGATCCCAGAACACCCTACCCCCCAACAGAGGTCTCTGAGTGGGATGGGGTGCTGAGCCAGGAGGGGAGAGGGAGGAAGGGAGCTCTTGGAAGCTGCCCCAGGCACAAAAAATCCTAGCTGTCTGTTCTTTCTCCCCAAACTGGAAAGACCACATTTTCACCACGGTTTACACTCTGGGCAGTTCAGGTGTATCCTTCAAAGGCCACAGATGGGGGGGGGGGTGTTTTTCAATTTTTTGTGCTTCCCCCAAAGTGAGACTCTTGGGGAGGGGAGCCACCCTGGGAAGCCAGGGGTGGGTGGGCGGCAGGCAAACGTGGGTGCAGCCCGGGCAGGCGCGGCCCCAGCGGGCAGGCCCTTTCCAGGAGGAGCCACTCCTGCTTCTAGACTGTTTAGAAAGCATGGCACACTCAACCCCTAAGTCCCCAGAGGCACCCACCTCACTCTCCAGTCCCCTGGGAACCCACAGAGAGGGGGACTTCCGCAGCTAAGAGAAGGCAGCACCCGCTCTCCCGGTGGCCTGCTCAGGGCCTGGGGGACCCCGGCCAACTGGACCCCCCACCAGGAGACAGGGCCTCCCGGGGGGGCCCCCTCCACTCCCCCAGGTGGAGAGATGCTAGGGGGCAGGACAGACAGAAGCCAGCCTGCCATGGTGATGCTGGTGGGGGCAGGGCCAGGTGGAGCACAAAAGTGGGGAAGGTCTCAGGACAGCAGTGAAGAGGGAGAGTGCACTGCACCGAGCCTAGGACAGAGCTGGCCCAGAGAGCTATGGCAGAGCGCCGTGGAGCTCCATCTGGGACACGCAGAAACCCACGCCTCATGTCCTATGTTACAGTGGGGGAAACAGACAAGAAACACTAAATACAACAGAAAAGGCAAAGTTAGTGCCTTGAAACAGCAATGCTATGGTTTGGAAAAACAGAGCAGGGTAAAGGGTTTGGGGGGAGGGCTGTCATTTCACATGAAATGGTCAAGGCAGTCCCCCTGAGAAAGCAACAACTGGGCAAAGACCCGAGGGGGTGAGGGAGGGCCAGAAGGGAGGCACCACCAGCCGAGGGAGGAGCCAGTGCAAAGGTCCTGGGGTGAAGCATGCGGGAAGAGAATACGCTGGTTCTATGTGCTTGCTCCTTCCCGCCAGGCAGCCTAACTATGTGTCCAAGACCCTCTGATCCTACAGCCCCCTGCGAGTCAGGGGTCTCAGCTGCCTGCCCCCCAGGTGAGTCGACTGTAGCTCTGGGAAAGGCAATCGACCTGCCCCAGGTCACTCAACTCAGGGACGATCCGTTGACTTGTGGCCTGAGGTTCTGGGCAGTGAGAAGAAGGAATCACAGGAAGAAAGTGCAACGTAAGAGGGAAGAGGAGAGGAGGGCGGACAGGCTGAGAGTGGAAGCCACTGGCCTGGCCACCTCCCAGCTCCAGAACCCACAGGCATCGCCGCGAAAAACAGACTGTCACCTGGTGGCCGCGGATGCCGGGACAACCCTTCCAGAAAACACTGTGGTAAGGGGTATTAAGGACATAAAAACATCTAAGCCCTCTCCCCGGGGATCACCCTTACAGGAATTCATCCCGAGGAACACCCAGAGGAAGGGAAAAGGTCTTGGTCACAGTATTTGCTTTGCCGCAGCCTTACTTGTAATAAAAAATAAACAAAATGCCTCCCGAGTCAGAGGTAACCAGACTGTTCTGTCAGCGCAGTCACATCCACGCACATCACGGGAAAGTGGTTGCGGTAGCATCAGAGAATGTGTCAGACGCCGTGTTAAGTGAAAGCACCCACACGCCACCTCCCTGTAAGCCCCGGTTCGTACGAGATCCGCCGATGCGTGAACGCACTGGTTGGGGGGGAACAGGAGACTGGACGAGGGAAAGCTGACCCTGTTGGGTCTCCGGGAAAAATCACTTTTTATGTTTCCACCCCAAGTTCCATTTAGGTTGCTACAAAGTTATCTGTGCAAACGCGTTTTTCAGGACCACGGACCCGTCGGCCCTCCCGCCGCTCAGACGTGACCCTCTCGGACTGCGACGTCTGGTCTGGGATGGGGGTGATCACTGTACCTGTGAGGCCGTGAGGCTTGGCCAGGGCGATGCATACAAAGGCTCGGGCCAGGAGCAGCACGACAGCAGCCAGGCGGGCCAGCACCGAGCCAGGTCTGTTCCAGAAGAACATTCACGGACTCGGACGCTGTGGGGGTGTGGGGGGGGGGCCTGGCCTGTCACCGGGAGATTTGGGGCAAAACTTTAGAGGCAGGAAATGAGATCTGCTCTTTATTGAAAGGTACTAGGGCGCCCCAAGCAGACTGAATCCCCCATGACTTTCTTCCTTGGTCCTGGTTTCCCAGTTGGCTTAACCAGGCACAGAGTACCCTTTCCGTGACCCTGGGTTTCCACGGCCCCTTCTTGGCATGACCCTGAGGACCCCTCACAGAGTCCTGCGTTGTCTCCACGCCTCTGTGGTGCCAGGGGCCTGGAAGCAGGTGGTCTGATGTTCCCGGCACGCTCGGCCGGTGTGGGACGAAGGCCGGTGTGGGACGAACGCCGGCTCCTTCTCCCTCCGGCCTCGGGTGCCAGGGCCCGTGATCAATTTGCAGTCCCCACCGCAGCGGGAGCCTGAAACCCCAGCACCAACCATCCCCCCGTTACCCCGTGTAAGCACATCCACTATTTACACACAGAACTCATAGCAGATGTCCGGGCTTCCGTGGCAACACCCTGTATTTTATGCTGTTCACATGGTGACGCTAAACACAAGCAACTCAAGGTAACCCAATCCGCCGCTCGTCCACCGAGCGAGCAACGCTTTCAGTACACGCCCTATTGATACTCACCAAGCGTCACACTGCTCATCGCCGAGCAGGCAAGGCCTGGACACAAAGCTGTGGATCCGTCAGCCGGGAGCGACCCTGTGTCCCACGCCAGCCCCACGGGGAAGGAAGACTACGCGGGCCCGCGTTCGAGGAGCCCAGAAACCGACGGGGCAGGACACACGCTGCGCACGCACAGTTAACCTACGCGGGAAGAAACGGCAGGTGAGGGCCACGGTCAGGGGGTGCCTGGAGCCTGAAGGAGACCGAGCCGTCAGCTGGACCTGGCAGGCTTCCTGGAGGAAGGGAGACCGGAGCCTTGAAGGATGATTAGGGAATGCTGAGCACGTCTAGGCTCGACACCGAGATGCCTCTGTGACTAAGTTAATTTTACTCCCGACGGCTTACAAGCCACTTACCCAACACCTAATGGCCCCGGGTGCCTGCTGGCAGGCAGTTCGTCCAAAAGGGTTTCGATGCTACCCTCTGGCACACCCGTCCCCAGCTGTGCCACTCGTCCGGTGCTCCCGGGGCCACCTCCACCTTCCCTCTGCTGGTCTCCTGTCCGCCTGTCCAGCCCTGCAGCAGCACCGAGCACACCCCTCCTGACTCTCCCCTCCCCATCCCCTCACACATTTTACAAGCGGCTTCCCAAGTTGTCTCTGCGGGGACCTTTTTATGGAAGCTTCGGGTTTTCACGGCACGAGAAAGCCAAAACCGTCCTGTGTGTGGCGCTGAGATGTCTAACTGGCCTTCTGACTTGTGTGGCCGAGCCAACCAGGGGCCTTGAGGAAGCAACAGCAGCGAGGCGTTAGTGACTGACGACCCTACCTTAGCGCGGATGCTTTTGCACCGATGCCATGGACTGGGCGCTGTAATGTATGGCATGTGCTGATTCTGATGGTCGACTTTGCTGCGTGTTCTTTACTGCTATTTACAATAGTAAAAATGAAACCGGATGGTGGGGCTGACATAGAATATTCCTAAAGCTAAAGAATGACAGAACTTCTAATTACCATAGTTCAAGTTTTGTTTTTAAATTTTTTAACGTTTATTTGTTTTTTGAGAGAGAGAAGGAGAATGAACAGGGGAGGCAGAAGAGAAGAGAATAAAATAACAGGGGGAGAGGCAGAGAGGGGGAGACACACAAATCAAAGCAGGCTCCAGGCTCGAACTGTCGACACAGAGGCAAACCGCGAGGGCTCGGGAACTCCTGGACCATGAGGATGACCAGGCAATCCGATGTAACCGACTGAACCACCCGGCTTATTGCTGTTTTTTTATTTTTAATTTTTTTTTAAGTTTATTTATTTTTGACAATACAGAGGTGAGCATGAGCTGGGGGAGGTGCAGAGAGGAGAGAGGAGACACAGAATCCAAGCAGGCTCCAGGCTCTGAGCTGTCAGCTGAAGAGCCGCGGGACCACCTCGAACTCTCATGAACCGTGAGATCGACCTGAGCTGAAGTCAACTCAAGCAACTGACCGACCTTTAGATACCAGGCTGTGGGATTTTGTTTTAAATTTTTTTTTTTTTTTAATTTTTTTTTTTCAACACGTTGTTATTTATTTTTGGGACAGAGAGAACCAGAGCATGAAACAGGGGGAGGGGGCAGAGAGAGGGAGACACAAGAGGGCTCAGGCTCAGGCTCTCAGGCTCCTGAGCCATCTGTGGGAAACCCAGTGTGGGCCTCCGAACCACCAGGACCCAGCCCGGATAATCGTGACCTGGCCTGAAGTCAGTTTTTCTCAACAAACTCTCATCACCAAGCTGCGTATAAATTTTTTTTTTTTCCAACGTTTATTTATTTTTGGGACAGAGACAGAGCATGGTCTGGGAGGCGGGGGGGGGGGGGGCGGAGAGAGAGAGGAGACACAGAATGTCGGAGGCTGGCAAGCTCCAGGCTCCGGGCCCTCAACCCAGAGCCTGACAGCGGGCTTCCCGAACTCACGGACTCTTGAATCGTGACCTGGCTGAGATCAGGCAGCTTAACCGACTACTTGCTGCGCCCTGGCATGGCCATGGAGATTTTGTTTTTAGATGTTGGGCGGTCATCAGAGCATGTCCACAATATGCTATTTGTTTATTTCATCCAGTGTAGACTCATTTATTCCTATCCCATTAAATGGGTTAAGATCCAATATTCCCATTTACTCTGATGTCCATACCTCCCTGGACTGGGATAGTGAGAGTCCCTTCACACTGGCTCTTGCATCCTCTTGGCACGTCCCCATTACCCGCTGAGGATTTCTTTACCTTCTGGCCCAATGACACGCTCCGGGCATAGGTGCCCTTTCCCCTGCCCCAGCCCTGCAGCTGGCATCTCCTCTGAGGAGCCCTGGTTCCTCTCCGGGGACAGTGGGACAGAAGCCCAGACCCAGGGGCTCCTGGGGGGCTCAGTCGGTTGAGCGTCCGACTTCAGCACAGGTCATGATCTCACGGTTTGCAGGTTCGGGCCCCATGTTGGGCTCACTGCGTCCACACAGAGCCCGCTTCAGATCCTCTGACTCTCCCTCTCTCTGCCCCTCCCCTGCTCATGCTCTCTTTCTCTCTCTCCCTCTCTCGAATATAAATAAACATTAAAAAAAAATTTTTTTTAGAAGCCCAGACCTGGGCATTGGGTGTGCTCACCGCCACCTGGAAGTCACCGCCTCCGGGGCGAGACAGAGGTAGAAAAACATGGGGGCGGGGCACCCTTTTTACCCACACATCCCATCTCTGAGCTTGCCCACTTGCTAAGTTGTACTCACAACCGCCAGGTCACCAGGGGAGCCTCTGGGATCGCCCGCAGACACACACGCACGTGCACAGGCTCAAGCACCCGCCCTGCCCTCTTGTTTCCGCTCCCACATTGCACACAAGCGCCCTTTTCATGATCTACTACTTAGTGCCACGCTGTTCACGTTTCTGTGCATTTTGTCGGGGGACGTCACCGTTAAAAACGGCCCCCAGGCCTAGCGCTCGAGTGCCGTCTAGCGCACCTCCGTGCAAGAAGGCCGCGGCGTGCCTGGGAGACAAAACACGCGTTCGACGGGCTTCCTCCAGGCACGACTCACCCGCTGCTGGCCGCGCGTTCAGCACTAACGCACCAGCTGCACATACTAAATAAGGTGTCTTTAAACACACAAAGCACATGGGAAACATCACGTGCTCATCGGCAGAGGAAGATGTTGGGTTCACGGGAACCCAACCCTGCGCCCCAGGAACGACGGTTCCGTATTCGCGAACCCGGCGTGCGCGGGGACCCTGCAGACCACGACTGCGGCCAACACGGAGAATCGTCCGCACGAACACGCATACGCGTTCAGACACACGTGCGCCCAAAGCCATTTCTGAATCTCCTTCCTCGTGTCCGACACGTGGTACCAATCCGTGAGTGTGCGGGTGCCCCCTGCAATGTCACCCAATGCCCTGGGGCTGTTTCTGATCTTTCCCCCCTTTCTGGGTGTGTCAGTATCTTCTCCAAAGTGGAAACCTGGCGTTTGTGACTGGCAACCTATTTAGTCATTCGCTCAACGTAACCGACTTCCCAACTGCCCCCAGTCTCTGCCGCCCGCCACCGCTGGCCGCACCCCGCCTCGCCTCTCGGACGCCAGGAGCCCCAGGCCCTGCTACCACCGGCACCCGCGTGCCGCACCCCGTCACTACCCCTCTTCCTCGCGCACCAGGAGCCTACACGTGTGCACCGGGACAGGAAAGGAAGAACGGAGCCCTGAGTCCACAGATCGACGCGGTGGGAAGTGACATCTCCCGGATATTGTCTTCCTACCTCTACGCCTCCTTTAGTGTCCTTCTAACAAACCGTATCACTTTTCCATACAGTCTTGCACGTTATTACTTAGATATAATCCTAGCTACTTAACTTCATTTTTTTTT